CCATTTTCCTAAATGTTCTTTCCTTTCAAAATTTTTCTAAATGATACGTATTATTCAAGTCAGATTTACAGAATTTTTACTAGCTGTTTTGTCCCTGTTCTACCTTTCTCATCCTCTCCATTCCGTATTTATAGTACAGAGTATTGTCCATTAACTCACTTCCAATTCACCCTGTTGGATTAGTTTATGGTCCTTTTATCTGTACGTGTAGTATCATTTATCAGGTTTTCAGAATTTTGGAATACAGACTTTCTTCTAAACAGAGCTTGGGTGTTATAGTCTGCTGCTGTGGGTTCTTGTTGTTTGTTTGTTTGTTTGGGTTTTTTTGTTTTGTTTTGTTATTTTTTTTGCTATTTTGTTCACATTATCTATGCTGCTTAGGTCCCTTTGGTCACCAATCACATTTCTGAAATATTTTGAGAGAGATTATTATGTTAAGTCAGCGGCTTACGTCATATTTGAGGAGGAGGAAAGGAATTTCACATTTAAGTTTCTGTGTTTTCATACTTAAGAGTAAATGCAAAGTGTATAATAGAAAGTAGAATGTCTCATCAATAAACATGGGCACTCTATACTGCTTAAGCATACTCATTTACAGAGTCATGGATATTAAAAGATAAATGTACTCAGAATTTGCTCTTAAATTTCATCATAAGATGAGCAAGGGCTGATAAATGTTTCGGTAATACGAACTTTGGAAATATTTCTGCGGTTATTGCTCCTTAAAATACTTTGCATGTACTTTATCTTTGCCTTTTATGATATTATGAGGGAACAACCTAATTTAGTTTTGTATTGTTGGTTTTTCCTCTGCTCGTTTTCTTAATCTGGTTAAATCAAATAATGTGCCTGAGCTGCTGCAGGTGAATAAATCATTTGAATTTATTAAAATTCCTGAGTAGACATTTATTTGAAACCTCTTGATTTTGTTGTAAAAGTTATTGATTTATGTCACTCATGCATTCAAGTCTTTTAAAATGTTGCATAGTACCTCTTAAGGTGTGAAATTTGATTTTAAGTATCTGTGTTTGTACATCTAGGCATAACATATATTAATAACTTCAAATAGTTACAATAATAGTATATAGATATTTCTCTATATGAAACAGGAAAATACTGTTTCATTTGTCTTGAGTTACACAGTTTTCAACCTCTCTCAATGTGTACAAACTTAAAAGAAAATGATTAAATCGTGCTGCATTATAATAGTAATGGCCCATCATTTTGAGTAAATACAAGCAGTTAAATGTAATGATGGTTTTTATGAAAATTACTTTGGCTCATTCCCAGTTTCGGAGTACTTTTATTATGTAAATTTAGACAATTTTTAGCTAACTATTACATTAAGCAACAATATGAGAATTATAATAGTCCCTCATTGACTTAAACTGAAAAGAAATTGCCAGTGGATTATATTACAATGTGTGTCTTATATGACATTTGGTCCCATGAGGAAACTATCCCTAAATATGCTTTTTTTGCTATTTATCTTATAGTTCTTTGACAATATTGCCAAAGTGGGTGTTTCTCTGCTTGACTTAAGGTTTTGTTTGGTTAATTGTTGACTTACACAAAGAAAAAGATTAGTACTCCATAGCAATGTAGTGCTTTTCCCAACCTAAATAAAAATGTAGGAAGGAAGAAAATACCCTTGACAATATTGTGTAATTGACTTGGGATTTTACAAGTTTCAGACTGTAAATATTGAAGACTTTTATAAGGAGAAAACATAGTATTTTTACTTCTATTGTAAAATGCCAAAACACCTAAAAATAATTTTTACCTGCCCTAGAGCGGGTTTCAGAAGAGTGAGCTAAGTATTGACAGTTGTTCAAAAGTACTGGGAAATGAGGTTTAGTTATCCACCTCCCATGTGTCTCTCTGTTTTTCATGTTTTGTTTGTTTGCTGGTGTCCTTCTGGGCTTTTAAAATTTTATTTCCTGGCAGGCTTACTGTGAACTCTCCCGCTAAAGCCCCAAAGTTCTTAGGGCTCTGTAAAATGGAAAGTGTAAAAAACTTATTTATAGGCGGTCCAAGCTTGAACCCTTTGGAAAGCTCTCAATCTTGATGGAGCCTTCTCCAACTTTGGTTTTGCCTGTTAATATTTAAGACATTATCAGCACATTCCTTCTGTTGCCACACACACAAATTTCATATATATGTGTGTGTGTGTGTGTGTGTGCATGTGCCTGTGTGCACATATGCTGTTCTCTACCATAGTGGAGAAAAATTCTGCTTTCTTTCTACTCTTCCAAACTCTACTTCTCTGTCACATTAAAACTCAAAACTTATGAGTAGGTTGACCAATAAAAGGAAAAACTAACAGAAAGATCTGACACGATCATAATAAAATCATTACACTCCTACAAATAAGGATTTCTTTAAAGGGAAGAGCTTGGCAGCAACTGGTTGAAAACTTTTAACTCTCCAAAGGCTGCAAATGTATGCATGCAGATTTAAGTCATACTGGGGCTTGGTCCTGTGGGTAATAAATATATGGGTTTGAGAATAGTGAATGAAGCTGGAATAAGAACCAGATACCGGAATTGGAACTTCTAGGGTTTTTATTTCAGGTATCTAGCTTTTTCAATTCCATTTTTTTTATTTAAAATCTTCATTAAAATGTGAAATATTTTTATTTCATATATCTAGTTTTTTAATTCAATAAACTGCATGTGAGATATGTTGTGTGAATGAATTAATTTTATTTCTGTGTGAGGAGGAAAAAGAAAGTACCAGCACTAAAGAAACCACTTTTGAATGGATTGGCATTTTGCAGTATAAAATTGAATAATATAAACTGATACAAGACATTTTGAGCACCACTGTAAACATTTACCAGTGTTTGTGATTATTTGCAGTTGATTGTGTGGATTCTCTGGTGCCTTATAAAAGAAAAAGTCCATCTGGCAACTTTGCCTGCAGGCAGGACATTAATAAAATCCCTTTCCCTTATGATCTCTCAGTTTTTATGAACTTTCTTATCTTTTGAACCCCACCTGTTCTTAAAACTTCTTGAGTTGAAATAAAGAAACAGAAAGAAAAGCTGGACAACAGAACGGAGATGTAAATAGTCATATACTATTTATGTAGTTCTACGTTATTGTAAAACTTTATAGTTACAGAATTATTATGCCTTATTTCTTTCAGGAATCTAGTTAAACTTTGTAACTCTTTCTTCATGTGCATCTTATGGGTTCTGGGATTAATTGGGACAAAATAACTGTCCAGTTGCATAATGGTTGTAAGACAGCCACTAAGCCTTTTCTTTGTTTATTCACACCATCTGGTAGGTCTCAGAATTTTTCTGAAGGTAAATATCTTGTAAATTTTACATATGCAGATGGCATGGTGATGGGTACTGTGAGCTGAGGAGGAGAGATATAAATTCCTTTCAGTTTTGGTCTGTGTGTTTGTTACACTGGAACACCAGGGAAAGGGTAAGCTCCTGATGGAAACCTAAGTGCAGAAAAGAAGCATTTTGTGGTACATCTATCTCAAGCAGATGTCATGAAAAGTAAAACATGAAGATGGGCAGAAATCTTACTGGCTAGTTCTGCTTCAAAGTAGGTAAATATATATCAGTCTGTGATTTTTTTCTTTCTTATTTCCTGTTACTTGTTTTGACTGTAAATAATATAAGACTGCTCTGAAAGGGGAATGTTATGATTTTTTGAGATGAATAAGGACAATCTCCAGTTTTCTAATGAGGTTGTGGACCATTTCCATCTGAGACCATTTAGGTTTACTACCACAACAGCATCAAGCACCAGGCTCCACACACCACCCCCTCTCCCACCTTTCCTGGAAGGCACTACTTATTTCCTCACTTTTTTCCCCCTCTGTGAAGGCAACAGGACAAACATGCTCTCAGTGGTATATTTACTATAAATATATGTAACTGCTGCAGCCACATAATTTAAATCACCACAAGAAAGAAGGTATTTTGGCAGGCTGGCTTCAGAGCCTTGTGGGTTGGTATTCAAAAACAGCCCTCCCAGCCCAAATTACAGATACAGAGGAAATTTACAATTGTCCTGAGAACTCAAATGAAGTTTTTCAGCTCTGCTTCAATCCCATTTCCCATGAAAATAAATGCTGAATCTGACAGGGAGTGGGGAAAAAAAATTAGAATTGTCACCTGATATAAATTCCAAATACAGTGTGAGCTGCCATGCCAGTTCAGGTAGTTTCCTTCATTTATAGTATATTTACTTCATTGACAGAGAATCTAATCAGTGTTTCTTCAAGGGTTGAATTTTTGAACTGATTTATAGGGTTGCTTCTGCTTTTCCTTCCCTATTTCTTTTCTCCAGTCATGGCAGTTTATTTATAATCTTTAAGAATACAGTGAGCTAAATATGACTTGGCTTTAGTAAGATCATTCTTGGATCTGACTGGAAATTTATTTTCTTTCAGAAAAATGTTATATGGTTGTAAAATTGGTACTGTTTAAAATATATATTACTTTTATGTCAATTCGACTTGACTCAGATTCTCTTTACTGGTGCACAAATATTTTAATGACATGGCTTAAAGATAATTTTCATCATTTTAAACCCTTTTAAAATGTCTTGGTGCACCTAGCTTAATTAAAGCCTTGCTTTGTGGTTAAAGTGTATACTCTGTAAAGCACTGTTTCATTCTAGCTGAACGTCTCAGAAAGGTAGTCTAATAAGAAAATCTGACTATCTAATAAGAAGAAAATGTGGGTATGTAAGCTACTGCTCCTAGATGACTTTTTTTTTTATTTGAAACTGAATAGAAATTAAATATTTAGATTCCTGCTTCACACAGATTGGGAACTGTGGATCTTTTCATCGATACCACTCATCCACAGTAGGGGGAGGAGGGGAAGTCAGTCAGCAGAAAGAGAAGTATTCCCATTTCTTTCTTCATTCATTTTTTTAATCTAATAAATCCTTCTTGACACATGCAGAACAACACAGTTAATTCAAAGAGGATTTGGGTGAACTTGTGTCGTGAACAAGTGATTAAAGAATCGCCATCAAAGGTATCAGCAAAAGCAGGTTTAATATAAAAGTGAAATGATGACAGAGTTCATTGGCAAGGTACTACTCACTAGGTGGTTGAGACACACAGAGAAGAGCCAAGCAAAATCTAAAATCAATCAATCTAAAAGCACAATCAACTCAAAGATTATCTACATGGAGGTTGGGGGCGGGATGGAGAAAAGGGTAAGGGTAGGAAAGGGCAAGGATAATAAGGGCTATAGAAGACCCTTTCAGTCAGACATAGGTTCAGAGGAGACCCCCTGTGCTAAACTGAGCCCTGGACAGTGGTGGTCTGAACAATAAAACTTAGCACAAACTCTTGTAAAGTATGTTTATAGCAGCTCCTCTTTCTGAACCAAACTTTAAGTGGCCTTTCTGCAGAATTAAACACTTGGCAAGTATCTCATAATATCAGTTAAAAACAAATCTCCAGTGAATAACTGATGCCATTGGATTGTGTATGATTGAATAGAGTAATCTTTCAGTAAATTTTAGAGTTAAATTAGTAATAATAAAAAATCCCATTAAATTTTCAATAACAAATTGCTACCTATTTATGAAGTTTTAAAATCCTATTTTGTTATAATACAAATATTAGAATTGTTTTCTGTGGGAAAAAAATGAATAGGCTATTATAATAGAGCAATTAAATCCCAGACTAAATACAAACACACTTTGCTTCCAAAAGCAATTTCAATATTTGGGTGTTAATCTTCTAATAATTTAATGTATTCAAAATTAGAATCCATAGAATCAAGTATTTTTAATTTTTATATGGCTAAAGGAAGATAAAAGATACTACTTGAACCTTTCTGATGCTTTTACATCAGTCTCTTACAATGCCAGTGCTCTAGAGGAAATCGTGCTTTAAACAATCAAAGTTTTTTCCTTTCTTTCCAGTATTGGATGACAGTTTGGAATTTCCAGAGTCATTCATGCATCTCATGTTAGACTTTATCACTTTTATCTGTCAGCTTACCAAATTTAAAGTTGTTCTGAAAACTTCTACGTGCACTTCCTCGCATGGAGAGGCTTGTAGGATTATTATCGTGTTTGTAAGAGAAGAAAACTCGGCTATTCCCTTTCCTTTAGCCATACACTTTGAAATAAAATGAAAGGAAGGTATACTTTTCAGTTTTTATCTCACAGGTTGAGACAAAGACAGTTTAATAGGTAAGACAAAAGCAGTCCACGAGAGCAAAGCAAAACGTGGATTTCTTTCAACACTTCCCAACGTCAGTCATTAGCAGGAAGGCAGGGCTGCACCACACCCAGTGGTGGGTTGGAAAGACAGAACATCATCACTCCAAAGGCCCCTCCTTCGTATTTCTTCCCCTAGTTTTATATGCTGAGCATACTGAGGTGCTGGAGCAGGTCCAGAGAAGAGCAACAAGGCTGGGGAAGGGACTGGAGCACAAGTGCTGTGAGGAGAGGCTGAG